CAGTGTCATGCTTTGGTCAAACTGAGATTCAATTAAAGCAAGTGACAGCCTTCATGTGGTTAAACGAGATCTATTAGCAGGTTGCAAGGGTTAGAGTTGTTTATAAAAAGGCTGTAAAAAGCTTTAAGAGCATGTAATTGTAAATTTAAATGTACCTCAACTGAGATATGATTCATATAACTAACGAAAACAKGTGTTATTGAGTTTGAGCAATATTAATGTTTTGAGACTATGTTTTATAAAAAGGGATATTAAAGAATAACAGTTGCTTGTAATTCCTGTGGTAAATTTTTACATGACTGAGTCTGAGTTTGAGGCTTACAAGTGCTAAACATTAGGGTTTATATTCTTGTGGGAATCCTCAAGTAGAGTATCAGCTGGGTCTAAACATATGGAATTGAAAAAATACAAAAAATAATGAAAGGAACACAACCAAACTCACATTAGGAATAAATTAGTATTTTTTTAAATAAAGTTGATTTTTATGTAATCCAGTATTAATGTTATATATTTACTATACTTACAAAAAGCTTATTTCCAAGATACGTCAATACTCCAGGCTCCTTGGATTTGAATAAGTAAGCAATCGCAATAGACATCTCAAATAACTTCGATTCAAATAACCTCAAAAGCCACGAACTCTTTGGAGGAGGAAGAGTTTCTGAAGATACAGCGCTATCACCAACAGGCAGAGATAACTTCTTCCTAGCTTTAACATGCTTTGATTTAACGGATCCATTTTGGTTGACAGCATGACCATTTGGTAAAGCAGTAGGATTGCTTTCGGGGTTATTATTTGACGGCATGGTAGTCTCTTGTCTGGTAGAAGTGATGTCGACTGTCTCGACTGTCTGTGAATTATTTGATACCAAAGTTTCTAATTTATTCGAATCCAAAGATCGAGGAAATCCTTGACATTTTGAAGCTTTTGACATCACAATGACGGCTCCAAATTATAGGAAAGCCATACTGAATTGTCAGATTTTTTATCTAAAAAAATCTCTCAAATCTTGTGGGATACGCACCGAAGTCCAACACACATTACGGTCGCGGGATACCAAATAAAGCCAGGCAAACTTTTTTTTCGCAATCCAGTAGTTAAGTAATAGGATATATGGACTTCAAAATGTCATCAGGATGCAAACAGATAAGCTTACTGTCGAAATGACAGGTAATTTTCCCTTCAAAGTTTRTAATCTTACTTGGATTTCCTAATACGTAAACAAACTGAACCTTTAGTCCTCTACAGGCACATTTCAAATCGTTTTAAAAAGATACTTCCACAAACAATATGGCTGTAGCTTCTCAGAAAATACAGAATRCGATTAAATTTAGTAAATTTTCACGGTTTTTAAGCAGAAATTCTTGAAAGCCAGTGAATATTTACGAAGCGTGAAATGAAAACTGGATGTTTTGAGTGTTAGTCCAATGTCAACCACGACGTGTTTGTGACTTGCGTTGAATTTCGAGCCCAAAATATCGTTGAATTGATAACTAAATAATGTACTGAATCCTTTAAGTCTTTTCTTCACTCGAATGGTGTCCTCTGAGCCACTTTTGGAAAGTAATTAGAAACTTTTTTTACTAGTAGAAGACTACAATAATACAACGCTTCAATGAACCATTCACAAGTAGGTTAACGACTATGTCAGACCAGATTCTCTTGAGTTTTGCCTCGTTCTACCCTAAACGATCATCCTTATCTTGAGATATGGCTAGGTCAGTTTATTGGATGAGCTGTTGGTGGTTTAAACGTACTGATTTATAGACCACAACGTCGTAAAATATTGTGCGATTTTGGCCGCCATTTCCTCTAGACCAATGCTGTAATGTTAGTAGCATCTGCCATTAGGCATTCCCACTATGCTTTGCGGGGAGCAACACCCATTATGCTTTGCGCGCGTGATTCAATGAGCTGATTCATTGCTAACACACCCCATTCCTTTAGCATTAAAGCAGGCGTTCTTGTAGGTTTGGGGAAAAACCGGGGTTTTGGGGGGTGCTTTGGAAATTTGGAACGAGCGAGAATTGATTCCATTTTTCTCGCAGGCACGTAGTCGAAACAGGAACCCCAAAACCCCGATTCTTCCTCAAACCCATCAAAAGAACGCCTGCTCTGCAGGCTAAATTTTATGTTGTGTTGGGTATAGCCTTCTGCCACTGAGGTGAAAAACGTCTACCTTTTATTTTTATCTCAAATTCTAGGTAATTCCGCATAACTCCATTTTCTGGTGGGAAATATCTTGACTTCGCGGGAGAACTGAACTAATTACCACAGCCATAGGACCCGACGCGCGAATCAATTGAAATCAGTATCCGATGCTGATTTGACTACAGTCCGCAGTAATGAAAGGAATTTACACATCAACGAACGATTGAAACACTTAAAAATTTCACAGGTTTTAGGCAATTTCTAAAGAATATATTACACGCTGACGAGGCTGAGATTGAGCCGCGGGATCTGTGAAATGGTCTATTGGGGGAGCAGTGCATCGTTAGATTTTTACGCGGGGTTTGGTTGCCATGCAACGATAGGTTCAGGTTTTGCACTAGTATAAGAAATGTCGAGCTACAATGGATAAAATCTTTACTAGAAGTCATGCTATCCAATGAAAATCAGAATTGATAACAGTTTTTAAAATTTTACATCGTTGAACATAATAACACATATAGGCTAGGCTGAGTAATATGCCTTTTAGTCCAGTGTTCCCTCCTTTCGTTTTCGGGCTACCTGTGCTTTTCCCGGAAAACACAGACAGCCCAAAAAAAGTTGGAGCGGTTAAAGGTGCCAGCGCCTGGACTATTAACCATTCCAAAGTTGAAGGGAAAACTGGGATTGGCGTTGCAGTCCATTTTGGGACTTTTTCAGGGGATAAAATAGCCGCCATCTTGGAAATATGTCCCCTAAAACAGCCCCACAATGCACTGCAACGGCAACTCGACCCAGTTTTTCCCTCAACCTCAGAATGGCTAATATGATTTCTGGACTTGCTTTGGTAAGCATTTCGTGTGAGAGTATAGCGTTAGTTGGAATATGTTTCAAATTATGCTACATATAAATCTATGACCACATTTAATGTATTTGCATACTTCTATGCATGGGTTCTGTACGTTAAACCGACACATTTCGATGCGAAGCTGGTTGGTTTTATCAAATAAGGCGTGCAAACGCTCATTTGGCAGGAAAACGCCCGTGCAAAGAAGTATGCGAAACATTAAATCTGATCACACTTTTGCGTGTTGCGCTCTAACGTTGTCATCCAATATGGCGGCAGCCGGATTTATATTTAAAGATGAAGCAAGCATAAGAAGTGCTTTTATACAGAGCAAACGAGTGTATATTGTAGTTATTTTTCTTCTAAATACAGTAACTTTAAAAAGTACATTTGCAGTACCATTAAGATTGTTCGAGAAATACTTTGAATATACGTACAAAAAGTTGTCAATTTGGAGTAAAATTTTTAAGTTGGTTCATTTGTTTTAGACACTTCTATTTGACAGGGCAGAAAAACGGTTTTTGGACTTTCGCCATAAAGACATCTTTACGTATTTAAGCTCAATATTTTGTAAAAGCGTTCTTTTGGAGCCCAATAACAAAATATCAAATGCGACCAACATTTATTGAATGCGTATTTGAGATATGAAGCCGTGTACTTTGGGAGAGGTGATATTTTGATCAGCAGAAAAACTGACATTTTCGTGATTTTGAATTTTTTCAAGTTTCGAGCAGCAGTGACACAAATGAAATGCATAAAAATTTGGAGTATTTAAGCTCAGTTAAATAAAAAAAATATCGTGAAAGTAGCGGGCTTTTCGTTTTTCTGCCCTGTCCTTCTATTTTTGCTAATTTTGTAGCGAAAAGCAGCGCAATACAATGAATCCAAGCTGATTTACATGAAAGATAAAAGTAGCACACTTGGTTTGAAACTGTGGAGGGCGCTGATGAGTAGGTGGACACAARACAGTTTCCTTCCCCACCCCCCTTCCCCACCATTTCACTCGCAAGCAAATATATATATTCCTTCAATGCCATTATCAATTTTGATTCCTCAAAGCGTTGCAAGCTGAAAGCACTAGACTATTGTGTTTGGCATTGTACTCCTTGGTGCCTGCCATCATCCTCGTCTTCATCATACACATTTCCCTAAAAGAGAGACCAAAAGCTGATGATGAGCATATATTTGCGAGAAATTTGACAGGAAAAGACACTAGAACAGTAGATTTCGAAAGAGTGTAGACCCTTGCATGTGAAGTCAAAGCAGCTCAATTAAGAAGACAAAACTGAGAATTGGAACCTATTGTTATGTCCTCCAAATTGAGCTGCATTCCGACATGCTGAAGTGGTCAACTTAAAAAACATCAAAGAGTGCCTGCTATGGGGCACAGGGATATCTTCTCTTAGTTTATTCGCTCTCGATCATGTCTATCAAAGTGTTTCATAAAATTGAAGTAGTCTTAGTGCACTTAAAGCCTGTGTAGTGGAGCTCTAGGGGATTATCAGGATAAAGACCACAGCCTATTCAAGGGTAGCTGTAATGGCCTCTCATCCCTGGGGCCTCAGATTTGCTTCCTAGAATTTAGCATGGCCTGAGTACACTAATTTCAAAAACGTGGATCTGAAATGGATGATCTGAGACTAAACAGGATGTTTGTGCTTTCATGTTATCTAACTAAAGTACAAAAATATCACATTTCTAACTCAAAGATCATGCTTCATTCTAATCTAAAAGGAAACTACATTGTTCGGCTGTGAATGTACAGGGGCAGATCCAGGATTTTGTTCAGGGAGGGGTGCTGCGCAGAAAGTTATCCCAAGGAGGGGTGCACTCCTTAGAATCAAAGTGAAAAAACAGTATTGGTTATCTTCGAAGTACAGTAGGGGCACAAGGTGGAACCAGGGAGGGGTGCGCACCCCCTGCAACCCTCCCCTGGATCGGCCCCTGATGTATTACAAATTGCAGCATGCTACTAGGTTTCAGATTTCAGATCTCCAACCGACAACATTTCATTTGAATTAAGTGTATACAATAATTGGTTAGATCTTGCCCTTCATTTGAATTCTTTTCCCATTTTTCTACCTCTGCATTCTACTATAAAAGGGA